AGGTGTACGAGCCTAATTCCTTTACTAACTACTTTGTTCTGTGAACAGACAGAATATTATGGAATATGAGGTCAATTTGTCCACTGACAATTTTGTCCTTGGATAGTAAGTAGGGACACAGCACCTCTTAGAACAGCTTGGTTTTGCCTCGTGAACCCAGAAGTTGAAATTACAATTATTTGTGGGAACAGCTATGTCCCAAGCACCAAGACATTTGGAGATGAACTCCAGAATGCAATGTTGCATATTTCTGACAGACATCCTATAAAGTCTCTTGCAGGAGTGTCACTATTACTAGGAGAGAGGAAAGGTGGTGAGATGCTCCTCTCTACCATGGGCTGTGACTGATCATTCCATTTCAGTGTGATCTGTCCGTAGGGCTTCTGGTTTCACATTGGGAAATTATATTCTTTGCCTGAAACCCCAGATGAGTAGCAATGAAGGCTTTGAGGGTCTGATATGCACCCATCTTTCCTCTTGCCTATTGATCTCACTGCAGCACCCCACTTTTAATCCATCTCTGCAGCCACTGCCCACCCCTCAAGAGCTGCCTTTCTTTCCTGCCCTTGAGGTTCCAATCCTAATCTAGCTTGCATGGTGTGCCCCATTCCTGAATCTATCTTTTTGCATAAATTGATTAATTTAGCATTTGCTGTGCAATGTCCTGGTGTGGATATGCTGTAATAAAGCAATCTTCCAATATCTACTGCTCTTTCACGTCTTTGAATATAGAATAGACATGCCATGATATTTGTGTTATTATTATTTTTTTTGTTTTTTGAGACAGGGTTTCTCTGTGGCTTTTGGAGGCTGTCCTGGAACTTGCGCTTGTAGACCAGGCAGCCCTCGACCTCACAGAGATCCACCTGCCTCTGCCTCCCAAATGCTGGGATTAAAGGTGTGCACCACCAATGCCTGGCTATTGTGTGTTATTTTAAAATGCATTGTTGCATCTACTTTAAGACAGGAATCTATTCTTCCTTTCAAATAAGCATGCATATTAAAGTAGAGTCACCTGAAAGCTAAATTAATTGTATAACATATATTCCTATCAGAATGTGAGCATTCTATCACAGTACTAAGTAATGCATCACAGATATCAATATGTGGTTTTGTTTTGTTTTGTTTTTAGACCATGGGTTGTTTGTCAGAAACCTCTGTACCTTTTTCTTCAAAGGACTCAATATCCGTTTGTAACCTGTGCTGACGGTTACAAATTGATGGCCAGCAGTTACCAAATAATTGTTGATGGAGGGTGGCTACTTAACATTTCCATACCAACAATAGGTTTTGGAAGGCTGGCTCCTTTAACTCTCAGGCTCTCAACTACCAACAGCAGCCCCTCTGCATCCCAGCTTTCTGAGTTGGAAGATGGGGTTGCAAACCTGAGAAATTATTTCCCAAGGAAAATGATGTACCTCTATTTAGCAAGATGTTCTCAGTTCAACCTACAAACAAGAACCCTGGGCAATTTTACATACATAGTAATGGCTGATGGCACAGTTGAACTCTGCCCACTCACAAATGTTTGACTAGAACCCAGGTGGCATACGGGTGTGATTAAACATTCTACCGGGCTTCCCAGAAATTCTCAGTCCTGACTCATCAGCACTTTAGCCCATTGCATCGATGTGGGTTGGAGATGCTACTTCCCAGCTTCTTGTGATGAGTGACTTATAAGCAACCTGACAAATTATTCTGAAGGAAAAACAAACAAACAAACAAAGAAAAATCTTCTGGGAGAACCCACAGCTCTAGCCAGCACTCATATGTCAACGGGTTATTATTTTATCACCATGGATCAGTAAAACAATGTTGACAAATGGCAAGTCATACCTTCAGATATTGTACCAGTGTTGTTAACATTATTTCCTTTATATGTCTCTTTCATCTTTTCCGAATTATGTACCTATGCCTCCAAAAATGGCACGAAAGTAATTTAATGGTGATTAAAGTGCTCAAAAAAAATCCCCCCAAAACAAAACCTTTCTTATCAGTTTAAAAATGTTTCATCTTCTGTCAGAGGCACAAGCTTGTTTACTAATGAGATCTCACTGATGGGGCTGATGTTACACAGACTGAAAAGCTGATGAGCCCAGAGTGGGAACTTGTTTTTTAAACTGCCGCCACATCTAATGGTATAAAGATATCACTCAAAGGTTGCCATTGCAACAGCTGAAAAGAAAATTCTCCAGAAAGCCCATGAGGCAGTGGGCATGGGACCAGCAAGATATTGTCAGCACTTAATTGTCTGTCCTGAAAAGAAGATAAAGCAAGAGCCAGTGGCAGCACACATGGCTCAGGCTGGGAAGCTTTGCCAAAAGGACACAATCAGTCTGTGGGGTACCAAAGGTGGCCTTTGTACCCATTCTGTGTTCCTTTGTAAAGCCAGGGGCACTGGCAGTAGAATTTTTGCTGTAAACTACCCTAAGACCAATGGCAAGCAGTTGAAGGGAGCATCTGTGGAACACTGGGCTTTTAAAACTGCATGTCTTTCAGCACAGTTACTAAATGTACTCTTCCGTGAAACCAGCCAAGCTGCAATCACTTGCAGATCCCAGAGAGGGAAAACACACCTCCTCCTGCTTCCCCAGTGAGCTTGATTCTGGATTGGAGTGACTTCAGAATTTCCTCACAACAGATCATTTCAACAATACAAACACACAGACCACATTCCGTTAGAAGAACACATTGGCAATATGCTACATTAGGCTTGGAAGAACTCTTTGATTACCACTTCCTGAGTGGCCTCCCTTGGTCTTATCTCAGGATTGGCAGAGCTATGAAAGGCCAGCCTGTTGTGAGATTAGAACCACTGTCTGATGTGAGAATCATCTAGAGCTCGGAGAAGAGGAGGAGGAGGACGACGACGAGAATGAGGAAGAGGAGGAAGGGGAGGAGGGAAGGATTTGGAGGTGAGCTGACTAGATTCTCTCAGCCACCACTTAGAAGTATATGGCAAGGCGTGTGTTCATTCTTGGCTGGATTTGTCACCTAAAAAATAACATGAAAATCAAGACAGATAGCCCAAAGTTTATTCAAAGCTCCGTCTCTACCTGGACTCCGCAGAGAGCAGAGGTCAAGATTCTGTTCAGCTTGAGTTAGCTGAATGGTCATCCTTGTGTTCTACTTAGTCATTAGAGGCACTTTGGCTGCCCCCTTCCTCCTTAAAGGATGCAGAGGAACCCCATAACCTCCCCCCCCACAGGCATTTAGATAAACATGCTGGGTGCTTAGCTAAAGGTGATGGGCAATAACTCAGTAAAAGGAGATCAATTGAGAAAGAAATCACTGAATCCAAAATAGTAACTGTTTGTTTGTGTGTATGTGGTGGGGGAGTATGTTAAGGGACTTCAGAAAGTCACAAACCATTTGCTATTCAATTAAGCTCCAATCACAGGTCAAATGTTCAAAATCTGGACTGGTGAGACCTGGCCAGTGGGCTCAAGCAGCCAGATATTGTCAAACATCAAGTTTGTTACACAGATTCCTTCATACCTCTCCCCTAGTCAGGCCACTTGGCTGCATTTGACCAGTGCATATATGACCACAGACCCTGACACAGAACCAGCACCAAATAAAACCCAAATTCACTTCATGGAACTTTGCTAAAGTTATAATCCCTTTGGATCCTAATTATCAGAGTGACTCTGGCTTCAGTGGTTCTAGTCATTTATGGGGATGTTCTTCCATGGGCACTCTGATCTAATACAATTTGTACCCTGTAGGTGCAGAAAAAATGGTTAAGTTTGAGTAGGGACAGAAAGCCATCTCCCTTACAAGCAAACATCCCTACTGTTTTCCTGAAGGTGACATCTGTGGTTAGCTTCCAGTCCTAGTTTGTAACCCCACTCCCCATCAGCTGATAGTGAGTTGATGCATCAAGAGCTGTCCTCCACATAAATGATCACAGGAAGGCTGATAAACTATACTGGTTTTAAATTAGAGCCCGGCTCACCATGCCTCCCTACGAACAGAAGCCTATTATTTTTAATTATGGCTTGCAAAGCAAAGTGAGCTCTTGCCCTCTTTATAGCATCTCTGGCAATATTCTGTCAGTTGGGATGACATGGTGCCCCATCAGTGAGCACGCCCCTAGCTACAGCCCCAACTGTTACTCCAGAGGAGACCAGAAATGATCAGTGGTGTTCACAGAAACTTGCATTTTGAAATGGGCTGAAGGAAACATGTCTCCTACCTCAGGCCATATCTTGTTGTAAATCAGGACAGATATGACATTTAGAAAAGTGTTTTCTGGGTGAATAAACACATCAGCGTAGGGATATGTGAGACGCACCCCCTCCGTGTGTGTGTGTGTGTGTGTGTGTGTGTGTGTGTGTGTCTGTGTCTGTGTCTGTGTCTGTGTCTGTGTCTGTGTCTGTGTCTGTGTCTGTGTCTGTGTCTGTGTCTGTGTGTATATGTGACTCTGTGTGTTTTAAACATCTCAACAGTGTTGTAAACCCATCAACCCATCCTACCCCCTAAGAGCACCCTAAGCAAAGATTAAGGAATGATCTGGCACTAGCCTCACTTGAGTCATCCATTTGACTGGCCATAATCAAGAGTGGTTGGTTTCTTTTGGACAGAAGGTTCTAGAAAGTTCTTGGGGTCCAATTATATTGCACATTAAGAAGTCAAAGGGGAAAAAAAAAGAAGTCAAGGGTTGGATGGATATGTTCTTGCATGTTGAGGAGGACAGCATCTTTTTCTTTGTGCTGAAATGGCATCTGGCATGATATATTGAAATGTGTCTTTGTTTTCCAAGCCTTTTCCTCTATGAGGTGTGAGAAGTCTCACCAGCTTTACAAGTAAGAGTTTATGGACTTGTTTTTCCAAGGCTATCACACATCATACTGTGCAGTCCTGTGCTTAGAGTTGAGCCCTTTGCCACGCTGATGTCCAGGGAGAAATGTTCACTCATCTCCAGATAGCCAGAATGGCATTGTCTCATCACTCAGTTTTTAAAAACAAGTGCTTTTGCTTTCTTCTCTGTTTTTCAGCAACAAGGAGCTGCTACAACTGTCTACTGTGCAGTCGCCCCTGAGCTGGAAGGCCTCGGAGGGATGTATTTCAACAACTGCTGCCGTTGCCTGCCATCTGAAGAGGCTCAGAGCGAAGAGACAGCCCGGGCCCTGTGGGATCTCAGCGAGAGGCTCATCCAGGATCGACTGGGGAGTCCATCCAGCTAATCAGAGCCCTGTAGTTTTGGGCAAACCCCCACCCATGCTCTGACCCTCATCACTGCTAGCCCCATCATCCAAGGGTTCCCCTAACCCTCCAGGGCAGAGCCATGAGAGTAAAAGAAATAAGAACAGCTTAATCAATTGGAAAAGGTTGAGGGTCAGTGGGAAGCAGGGATGTTCAAGGGACAAAGCTCCTTTTCTAGGACAGGGTTAGTCATGGGTCTGCTTGCTTTTCTGGTGGTGGCCTGCTTGAAACTGGAAGCATAATTAACATGTAGGTTCCTTTGCTCATTGTAGAAGTGTAAGTGATTCCGTATTACCTTTAGAATATCCTAATGTCCCCTTGACCCACCTAAGCACCACCAGAGCCACCACTGCCACCCAAGACGCGCTTTCTCTTATTGAGGGAAGAAAGAGCACATGTTCACCTCTCCATCCTGAGTTCAGTCCTGAAGGCCAATGTTTCATACTTCCCTACCAAGTCTGACCAGACTCGGCAACTTTGAGAGCAACTCAGTACCATGTCCCAACAGAACCAATGTGATGATGTCATCAGAGGGGAGCAGAGCCGGTGTGCAGAGCTAGTGGGTCCCAAGAGTACCACCCCGCTGTCTTCCTTGCCAAAGCTATGCAAGCAATTCTTTAGAGAGTATACTAAACACATTCTGAGAATCATTCCCTAGACACACAGATGGGCAAGGAAGGAAGCAAGGCATCCTTAAGATACACAGGATAATTCTTAAGGTGTGAAACAAGAAGTAGTTCCCTTCGTTCTTCACTCACAGTTCCAAGAACGACCTCCGTAGTGAGTGCCATGGCCTCCAGTGCTCCCAAATTACCATCTAGCTTCAGCTTCCCTTGGTTCTTCCCATTTTATGCTTAATAAAAGAACATGCTTGATTATGATCGCCTGAATTGTATATTGTTTGTTTGAATGTTCGTCTCAGTTATTTTTGTTCTGTTTTGTTTTTGTTTATTTTCATTTTTTTTTTTTAGAAAAGAAATCTAGAAGAAAAATAAAGCGCTTCTTGTCGATGCCAGGAAAACATCATTCTCGATTCTTCTCTGAGTTTATGGTTAGTTTTTGTGCTTTGTGGGCCGAGTTGTCTCATGGGATAAGCATGCCAGCATCATATTTTCTGTGAGAGAAAGAGAGAGAAGAAAAGTAGTGATTGTTGTGCAACTTTACATTAATTCCTGTTACTTACTGATGGTGATCTCTGTTTTCAAGCGATGGTTCCTGGGATCATCAGTCACTTGAGAGCACTCACCCTCTCCACTTACACCGTGGTGTCCCAGCAAGGGGACATGGAGATGACTTTTAAGGTAGTTAATATGATTCTATGGACCATGCCTTTTATGCTTCATTAACCCATATGAGAACCCTGAATGGTGCAGTTTGAAGCTCAAAGTTTATGGTCACCAAGATGTAGAAGAGTCCTCTGTGACATGACAGAGAGACTCTTTTATTAAACATGAAGAAGGTGAGGGTGGAGATGTATACATGTCACTGTTTCTCCTCTTGGGATGGCAGCTTCAAGACAGCCAATAACACAGATTTCCGGGCCTCTGCCTCTAGGTGGGTCAAGTCAAATATCATTGCTTTTCAGTTACTTACAGCCTGCCTGGGGCCTCCCGTGCCAGCTAAGGAAACCCAAAGGAAAAGAGACTCCACACTTTAACTCATAGAACTCCAAAGAATAATATGGGTCAGTGATTTTAAGCCATCAAATCTCAGGATTATTTGTTACATGGCAGAAGCTAGCTGACAGCTCTCATTTCGTCGAGTAATAACAACCCCCCCCCCGTAACCTGTTTGTTCTCTCTTAATTTGAACCCCAGATGCCTTGCCCATCCATGTTCCAGCACTTTGTCCTTTTCCCATAGAACACTCTCCAAACACACTATCAGTTCCAGTGCTTTCTATCTGCTGCTCCCTCTGTGGAAATGCTTTTCTCACATAAAGGTTTGTTTCTCACTGACTTCTGTTCTCTGCTCAAATGTCACCTGTTTCAGGAAAGGTAGCATGTCTGTCCATTTCATTCATGATAGCACCTCAGTGACTATCCCTTACCCTTAATGTTTCTCCTTTTAAATACTAAATAGCACTGGACACATTATGAGTCACCATTTTTCTTCCCTCATGAAACTTTTGATCTATTGAGTCAGTTAACGGTCTAGACAAACCATACCCATCTTTTTGTTGTTTGCTCAAGGGATAAAACAGAGGCTCAAGAGGCATCTTCTCCATAGCCCATACCTAGTGAGTAGCAGACTAAGGCCTGGAAGGCAGCTCTGAGTGCCCTCAAGCCGGTGTGCCTTCATGGGCTTAGAGACCAGCAGTGTATACACACTGAATTTATGCAATGAATGGATTACGCAAAAAAAAAAACTAACTTTCTGCCTAAGGCTGTAATGTGGCTGTCCTGCACAGACCAATGCCTGCTATAAGCTTTACAAATGGCTTTCATACCTGCCACTGAGCCAGCAATATGGACTTCTGTTCTGCCCAAATAACCTCCCTCCCCTACTCTTTTCCAATTATAAATACGTCCATACCCAGTCTGGGCTTAGCCGTGGTGGACCTTGATGTCCAATGTTCTAATGAAGCCATATAGAATACACATACAGCTTCAGAGCTTGTTAGGAGGTTCTAGCAGGAAAGTTCAGCTACTCGTAAACCCTTGACCAAAGACCAGTCCTCCTCTATTCCATGAAGCTGTGCTTCGGGAGGGACATACATAGAGCAGTGTGGGAGGAAGGGGACACCTGCCCAGCCAGTCAGATCAGAGGTATCAACCCTGGCAATCCATGGGGTGATAGACATCACAGCCAGATCACCCTCACATCCAGGGGAAACTTGCTGAAGACCGGACTAGACTCCCTTAATATAGGTGACAATAGTGATGCTGGAACAAAATATGAGACCATTGGCAATGGGTCCAATATCTAACTCTAATGTACAACTGACTTAGTGGAGCCCATTGTGTATGGAGAGATACCTTGCTCAGCCTAGACACAGGGGTGTGGGGCATGGGGGTGCCTTGGTCCTGCCTCAATGAAATGATGGGATAGACTTAGTAGACTTCCTAGGGGAGGCCTTATCCTCTCCGAGGAGAAGATGGGAAGTGGTGGGGCAGGGAGTGGGGGAAGCAGGAGGAGAGGAGGAAGGGGGAACTGGGATTAGAATGTAAAATAAAAGTTAATAAAAAATGTTAAAAGAAGAAGAAGAAAGAAAGAAAACACCCGACTTAAGAAGAAGGAGCCAGCTTCTCTGTGGCTAATTCCTGCCAAGTTCCTCTCTGTCCCTGTTTCTTTAAGTCTAAAATGTGTCTGGTTTCCACTTCCATGCCTGAATAAGACCTTGTGCCACTTATCAATAGGAAAGAAACTGAAGCAATGGCTGAACCCTGCGGCTTGTGGCTTTGCCCTTTTAGAATGAGGAGATGGGCAGTTTTGTTTGGACCTCAATGAAGGAGGAAGCTGGAGGACTTTCACCAAGGTCAACACCAGTCCAGAAAGCCTCAGATTGCCAAGTTCCTGCCAGATCTCACCACCAATACTCATCACTTTTAAAAGTTTATGTTGAAAAACAAGCAACAAAACAAAAACCTAAAATAGCAATACCTATATACCCTCTACAGTGACTTCATGCCTCCTGACATACCTCAGTTAGTTGCTGAAATCACTTCAGAATACTAAACAAGTTCATTAAACATGAGCCCCATGGTCATTGAAGAAGTTGATCTGAATTGCTGAATTCCTGAAACAAGGCCCCACCAACAAAGATAACTCTTCAGAAAAAGAAAGCCTGGTAATATTGTTAAATTTAAATTCAGATTATGTCGTCTTTCTTAAGTCCTTGCTTTTGGCTCAAACATTTGATTTTGCATCTTTGCCCTATTTTCTCTCCCCAATACCCCATAATAATCTTGTTTTTCAAGTCTTTCCATGACTTTAATAGATGCCTAATACATCATATGGGCTATCATTTATAGGCCCATGTTTCTACTATGGGACATTCAGGTAACTTCTTGTTTGTGCTGTTAGAACCAATGTCTCACTTAGCATTTTTAAATGTATAGACTTTTCCTTTTAAGAATTCATTTCCCAGCCAGGCAATGGTAATGCATGCCTTTAATACCAGAACTTGGGAGGAAGAGGCAGACAGATCGCTCTGAATTCAAAGCTAGCCTGGTCTGGAGTGAGTTCCAGGACAGAAAAGGCTACACAGAGAAATTCTGTCTCAAAAACAAAAGGCCTAGCATCAGTTTGCAGGGAGCCCAGAAACATTTACAGGGCTGGTATGTTTCAATGATGGCATTTGGACCAGAAGTGTGTGTGTGTGTGTGTGTGTGTGTGTGTGTGTGTGTGTGTTTACAGCCCTGTCAATGCTAAGTGTGCTATTTACTGTTTCAAATGTATTTCAACATCATCTTGTCACAAGCTATATCTATGTATGCATAATATTCCCTAACAGCCAGCCTAAGCATCTGTCCTTCATTTTCCCACAGGGTAGAGTTCATAATTTTAAGTAGCATGGAAATTCAGAGTAAGTGTAGAGAGAGAGAGGGTTTGGGTGGGAAAAGAGCAGTCTTGTTGAAATATCACATCTTTACCACAGTGTTCAATCAAAGAGCATCCTGTTTCTCTTCCTTTCCAATCACCAGTGCAGCAAGGCAGTGACCTCATCTGAATTTGGTACCCAGACAAAAATGAATGCCCCAAATGTCTTTGGTTCTCATTGGTTCCTGTTCTTACAACACTAGCTGGGAATCCCCAGGGGGGCCAAACTCTTGGTAGCTGACATACCGTCTGCATTTATTAAATGTTATTTATGCCACACCAATCAGAGAGGTTGTCTATTTTCTCACTGTTGAGTTTATGGGGCCATTTCCTACATCTTAGAGTAAGGGAGCAAAGCTACTTTGAATGGATGAGAGAGGAATATGCAAATTGAAATTACCCATCACTTATTCACAGGAGAGAGGCCCTGCCTCTAACCCCAGGGAGCTTCCCCACTTTATCTGAAGTTCACTGAGAATGTGTCCTCTGACTTTGCAGTTGTGGCCATGTCTCATTGGATGCTGGGTATCCTGGTGGAGAAAACTGACTTTTACTGAGTTTCATTTCCTCAGTGTTTAAGAGTGTGTTCTCAGGCTTATCTGGAAAGTGTCTTAATGAAATTAGTTACATCTCCCACTACTAGTAGTCGAAGTGATTCTTTTCTCACCAGTGAGAAAGCCATCCAACCCCAAGGCCTTGGCTTCTTGTGTGACCTTGTGCTCTGAGCCCTTCTGTCTCTGACACAATCCCCCATACTCTCAGCACTTGAGCACTCTCTTGTCCCTCCACCACCGGCCCCTCTTGCTTTATTTCCTATTTCTAGACATCTATAAAACTTTTGAAAGGATTTCATTAAGACTTTACCCAAGGGGGCTAGGGAGGTGGCTCAGCAGGCAAGAGGGCTTGCTGAACAAACATGAGAACCTGAGTTCAAATCCCAAGCATGTAGGCAAAACAACTGCAAATAGCCATGAATGTCTATAAGCCTAAGTGCCTTGGGCAGCCAAGATAGAGGATTGCCGAAGCTTTCTGTATGCCAGGTTAGGTCCCGGTCCAGGGATAGACTCTGTCCCAAGGAAATAAAGCAGAGAGTGATCAGTCAGGACAACCAACATTCTCTCCTGGCCTACCTATGCAGTCGTGTTTGTACATGTGTGTGTTCACCACACATACACAGCACATACTGTTTACACACACAGGCTATAAAAAAGGATTTGTCTGCATGTGTTTTCTCCTTTAAATCTTTGAATGCCATTTATGCAATCGCTTCATTTGAGAAGTCCTATCGAGAGAGCATTGATCTTAGAAATGACTGCTGAATCATTTGAATTTTAAGCAACATGCTTTGC